ATTTCTTTTGTGGCTAGTTTTAAATTATCAATTCAATTTTTAAAGTAGTTGCAAGGCTAGTCAAATGGTCTATTTCATATTAGTGAGTGGTGATAACTTGTACTCTTCAAGGAATTGGTCCATTTCATGTAAGTTGTTGATTTTATGCAAGTTGTTGATTTTATGCATATAGCCTTGTTTGTAGGATTCCTTTATTGTCCTTTTGATGTCTGCAGGATTGATAGTGAAATCTTGTTTCATATATTGTTAATAATGTGTTTCCTCTCTTTGTCAGTCTTGCTAAAGTTTTGTCAATTTTGTCAATCTTTTCAACAATCAGGATTTTGTTTCATTTAATCTATTTTTCTGTTTTTAGTTTGATTTCTTATTTTTTGCTTCTTTCTGCTTGCTTTGGGTACATTTGCTCTTTTCAAGTTTCCTAAGGTTAGGACTTAACATTAATTTGAGGCTGTTTCTTTTACTAATGTAAACATTAAATGCTATAAATTTCACCGTTATAGCTGCATCACACAAAATTTAATCTGTGGCATTTTCATTATCATGTAGCTCAATACATTTTTTAAAAAATTCCCTTAGAGACTTCTTGTTTGACCTATGGATTATTTAGAAGTGTGTTAATAACCATTCTTTCTCCTGAAAAGTTACCACTATATTGACTTCCAAAAGGTCTTTTACTTGCTTTGATCTTTAAGCAAATCGAATCCTGAACTATGTAATACTTTGTGTTTGATATTTTTGTTCAACATTAATCCATTCTATTATTGATGAGCATTTGGATTTGGAATTTTAGATTTTTTCAGTTGGGGTTTGGAATACTGATTCTATGGATATCTTGTTTTATGTTAAACATATGTACTAATTTTCAGGCTACAAACCTAGGAATGGAGTTTCTAGTGTTGGCTATTCTTAAACTGTTATCCCAAGTGGCTTTAGCAATTTATATATTTTATATGCTGGGCATGTAAGTTACAGGTTCTCTACATGATCCAAGAGTTGATATTATCATTCTTTTAATTTTTTTTTTTTTTTTTGCCATTCAGTTGGGTGGGTAGTGTTATGTTTTATTCAACCTATACTCTGATATTTTTGTCTGCTTTTTCCATCAATTATTAAGAAAAGTTGCTAAAATTTTCCCAGTATAATGGATGGTCTGTCTATTCATCATTTTAGTTCTTTCCACCTTTGCTTTATGTATTTTAATGATATGTCATTATTTACTTACAAATCTAGAATTATATCTTCCTGGTGGATTGACGATGTTGATGAAATTTCCTCTTCATCTCAAGAATTTTTCTTGCTTTAATATTTACCCTAATACTAGTTTGTCTACCTCTGTTCTATTTCTTTTCTTTCCTTTCTTGCTTTCTTTTGGACTTCTCATATTATTTAAGTTATAAACTATTAGGCTGTTATACAGTCTTTAATTATTCTTTTAGTGATTACCTTAGAGATTACAGCATGCACCCTCCTTCAACTTATTAACCGCTGTTATAAATCAGTTCTTTAAGGCAAGGATCCTAGAACACTTTAACTCCATTTATCACCTGTCTTGTGCTATTTCAGTTCCCTTTTAAATGTTTTAATATGCCTAGAAGTTATTGTTTACATGGGCACATTCATTTATCTTTACTCAGATATTTATCCTGTTTCATTTTTTTCCTTCTTCAAGTTTCTGTGTGGGATTCTTTTCCTTTTGTCTTCAGAACACTTACTGAACTTTTTAATTCAATACTAACGAATTTTGGCATTTACTGTTTTTGTTAACAAATCAGCTGCCATTCTTTTATCACTGTTGCTTGAAGGTAAAATGTCTTTTCTCCTTATCTACTTTTAAGACTGTTCTCTCTCTGGCTGGTTTTATGCAGTTTTACTATGATGTGTCCTTAGATGTATTTGCTTAGTTTAGGATTATAACCCTTCTTGAATCTATGATTTGTCATTTTTTAATCAACTTGGGAAAATTCCCAGGATATAATCTCTTTGAATATCACTTATTTGTTTTTCTCTCTACTCTCCTGAAATCTCAAATATGGGGTGTTAGAACTTTTCATCAAAGCCATATATATCTTATTCTTTTCACCTCCCACATTGCATTTTCTATCATTTTTCTCAATGCTTGAGTATGATTTTCCTTCTACTTTTTCTTTAAGCTCACTGATTTCCTCATCAGTTATGTCTCATAGCTAGCTGTTACATTCATATATTTAGCTCTTAATTTGTTATGTGATTTCTCATTTCCATTTGATTCATCTTTATAATTTTCATTTCTCTGCTAAAATCTTGTCATTTAAGATTTTATAATTCTGTTATTTGGATCTACTGTGGGCCTGTGGCTTCTCTTGGATTCCAGTTAATTTTTTTCCCCTTTAAACTCTTGTTTTGATTAAATCCCAGACATTGTGTATGAAAAACTGTAGCGATAACTTGATGCCCAGGATAATGCTATCGTTCTCTTGAAATTTTTACTTTGGTAGAGTATCAGATTTGGAGAAGCTCACTTTAGTACTATCTGTAACCAAGCTGATTCAGGCCCAAGCATCAGTCTATGAGAGGGAAGGCCCATTTTTGCTCACCTTTACCGTTAGGATGTAGCCCTTGTAGAGAACAAAACAGAAAATTCTGGGTGTTTATGAGTTTCTCACACTTCAGTGAGCCTGAGCTCCAATTAATTGTCTTTACAACCCAAAAGAATACTGGACGCTCTTCTCAGCTTCTTAATCTCTCATCTGCTGTTTGTGATTCAGAAAATGCATCTGGGAGAAAAGCTATGTCAAAAGCCTGGATTTATCTTGTCTTCAACCCTGGAATCTTGGCTCCTTAAATCTTAGCTTCCTTAAATCCTAGATCTCAGATACCCTCCAACAGATGGTGTTTTAAAATTTTGGCTTGCTTTTGTTGTGTTCTTTCTAAGAACCTAGTCCTTAATTGTTGAAAATGGAAACTTATTTCCGTATTTTTAACTACCACCAAAATCAATCAATATATAGCTAACTTTTATTCAACCCCCAGGTAAGTATTTTCAACTGCCTAATAGATATCTCTACTTTAATGTCTCATAATTATCTCAAATTCAATTTATCCAAAACAGAACTTATCATTCAATCCTGCTGTGTCTTCTACATTTTGTATCACTGTAGGTATCACTCAATCCAGGAACTGGGGATTCTTTTTTTTCCTTTATAACTTATGTCTAATCAGTCATCATAGCTAAAATTTACCCTCTTTTTCATTGCTTGTCTGACTCATTGCAATAGTTATTCATTACTCTCTCTCACACTCCAGCTGTTCTTATCAAATTTATCCTTTCTAATGCATTCCCACCTAATTAATATTTTTTCCTCAAAATAAATCCAAGTCTGTCATTCCCTACTTAAAAACTTAAGGGCTTCCCACTATCTGCAAGATATGGTTCAGTACAATACAGTCATCAGTCCATCAATCTTTGATGATTTGAATTAGCACCTGGCTTCTTACCTCTCCAATTTTCACTTGACCTATTCCTTCCTGTCATTGTGTTTTAATGATATATATTTATTTTAGCTACTGAAATATACTATGATCTTTTTCACATTTGGATTTTTGCATGAGCTAATTTCATTTGAAATGTCTTCCCACCTTCCAGTCTGCTTTGTAAACTAGGATTAATCCCCTGCTGAGAGGCTGTATCCATCATAAAGCTTTATTCCCTCTCCCTCTTATTTTCCAACAAAAGGATTGTTATCTCCTCTGTGCTACTTCAATTTTTTTCGTACTTCTGTTAATATATGTATCACACTGTATCACACAACTGATGAAACCTCTTGAAATTTAAATTATATTATATTGTAATATATAATAATTTTAAAAATTAGTTTATAATTTAAATTTTAAATGTGCTGCTGTTTGTTTATTTCCTACCTTGTCTTTCAAGAGGTTTCATCAGTTGTTACCTAATATTATAAAAAGATTTCATGGGTCTAAGAATTTCAGTGCTTAGCGTATGTCTATCAGTTCAACACATACTGAGTCTTCTGTGTGCCAATGACTATATTAAACTCAGGAGTATCAAAGATTAAGGGACCTCATCACAAAGAGTTTTTGTTTTAGGGAAAGACAAAGAGGTAACAAATCAAGACTATGCAGTGTGATACATATATTAACAGAAGTATGAAAAAAACTAATGATGTATGGTTATTAATATAACATAATAAAATAAAATAAAATAAAGGGCAATGAGGACTTTTACATTGGCAGGATATGTATCTCATTTTATAATATAGGAAATAGTTAAAAGCCTTTTGAGTCAGCCTAAAAAAAAATAAATAAAAAAAAATAAAAGAGAGCTACATGAACTCAGTGGCATGATTAATACTGCTGAGCAAGGCTCTCTGAAGTTCTGTTCCCTATTAGAAGAGAGGGGGAATCTGAATTCAGAACAGATTTTTGGGAACTTCTCCTTACTACGGAAAAGCAGCTTGAACAGATGATCCAAGCAATGATAAGAAATAAGAAGCCAGGGAAATGAAAGGGAAGAAAGACAATAGAGACTTTCAGGGCAGAAAGGAACTTTAATGAGGACAGGAGCAGTCAAAGAAAAACAATGAAGGGATTATGAGTTGGATGCAGGTAGAAGCTAGTTCAGGTAGAAGAACTCATACTGAAATGTACTCTTGTAGGGGCATAAATTATTTAAAGTTTTCCTGAGAATTACATAGTATCGTGCTCCAAGTCTTTATTGCCTGTACTCTAGAGACAATCACAAATCTTTCTTTATGGTCTCTTACAAAAGCTCTATTAGGGAGAGTTGACAGCTTCAGAGTTAGACAGAGTTGACAGGTTCAGAGTACCTAGAAAATAAATTTTTCCTGTAATAATATATTTAAATAGGGAAAAGCTTTCTACTTGGAGCCTACAAAAATATGTGCAGAGAAATTTCTGAATACCAAGAAGAAAAATCCAACTTGTTTGTATTTTCTTTTGCACAAAATCTGTGGGCTTTGTAGCAGCCTTGTTATACAGATATCATGCCCACATCAGGTATGAGCACCAGGAAAAATCTCACATTTCTAAGGTTTTTAAAAAGTGCTCTCAGCTTCCTCTGTAACAGCTGTGAGAGTATCTTCATTATGATGATGACTCTGAAAAAAAAAATTAACCTCTTATAAGTCATATCATGCTTCCTAAGATCATACATGTAACAAATACTTAGTTTTTAAAAAAGTAAAAAGTGCTGATGTTTATAGAATAAAATGTTAAAGTACCATGTGTCCTCTTGGTGTCCCAACTATACTTCAACCCACTTTCTTAATTCCTACTAGACATTTGTAACTTTTTTTTTTAAAGTAGGCTCCACATCCAGTGTGGCGCCCAATGTGGGGCTTGAACTCACAACCCTGAGATCAAGACCCAACCTGAAATCAACAGTTGGATGTTTAACCAACCGAGCCACCCAGGTGCCCCAGACACTTGTGACTTTTTGGCATACTTCCAAACTTTAACAACAAAAAATTCTTCTTGACTATGAACAGATGCCAGCACCCCAAAGGTTACCTTGTCATATTTCCCATTACCCATTTCTTCCTTCCAAAAGTAACTTGTGATTTTGACCTTTAGGTAATTAATCTTTTCTTTTCTTTCCAGTTTTACTAGCTTGCATCTCTCTGTAAACATTATAATTCAGCTTTAGTTTTGCCTGGTTTCAAACTTCATCTGAATGGAATCATAAAGTAGGCATTCTTTGGGTCTGACTTTCTATATTTAACATTATATATGGGAGAGTCATCCATGTTGTTAAGTATAGGTATAGTTCATTTTAATTACTATGTAGAATTTTATTAGAGTAATATACTCAATATATTCACCCATTTGCAGTGTTTCCACTTTGGGACTATTATGAATATATTGGTATTTTCATGGAAGTGTATCTTAGTACATATGTACACATATTTCTGTTGGGTATATACTAAAAACTAAAATTACTGGGACGCCTGGGTGGCTCAGTTGGTTAAGCGTCTGCCTTCAGCTCGGGTCATGATCCCACGGTCCTGGGATCGAGTTCTGCATCAGGCTCCTTGCTCAGCAGGGAGCCTGCTTCTCCCTCTGCCTGCCACTCCTTCTGCTTGTACTTTCTCTCTAGCAAATAAATAAAATCTTTAAAAAAATAAAAAATAAATAAAATTACTGATAGGGTATGCGCAACTTTCCATAATGATGCCCCAAAAGTTTTCAAAGCTGTAATAATTTATATTCCAAGTAGGAGGGAGAGGTTTCTTTTATCCATCGGCATTATCATCACTTAGAATTGTACTTTGAAACTTAATCATTCTGTTAGGAAATGAATATCTCAGTGTAGTTTTATTTTAATGTTATTATTGAAATGGTTGGATTTATGCCGAATACCTTGCTATTAGTTTCCTATAGGTCTTGTGTTTTTTTATGTTCCTCCTTTGCCTATTAATACTTTCTGTATATTATCTTGTTATCTTACTATATTTTTTGAGTGTTCTTAGTGTCATTAGTCTAGGAATTAGAATGTGCATCTTAATTTATCACAAACTGCTTCAGGTGCGTGCTACTTTAATTCCAGTAAAATATAGAAACTTCGTTCTCATGTAGCTCTATTACTTCCACCTTCCTTTATGCTATTATTGTCATATATATTACACCTACATGTTATATACTCAACAATACAGTGTTTTTAATTTTATAATCTTATCTCTTAAAATTTCAGAGGAAAAAGGAGACAATATATATCTATAGAACAGGGGCTGGCAAACTCTGGAATATGGACCCAATCCGTTTCACTACCTGTTTTGGAAAGTTTAACTGGAACAAAACCATATCTGTTCATTTATATATTGTCTATGGCTGCTTTCATGCTATAAGGTAAAGCTGAGTAGTTGTGACAGATGGAATTAAGGTTGATAATAACATGACTTTAAAATAAAATTATTTTGGATTATCTGGGTGGGCCCAGTGCAATTTATGCAACTGTCTTTTCAATCAGTTAAGAGAAGCACAAAAGGTATATTTATATTGTTTTTTTATAGTCATCTCCAATAATTACCTTTACTGATGCTCTGTATTTCTTCATGTGTTTTTGAGTTCCATCTGATATCACTTCTTTTTAAAGAACTTCCTTTAGTGTTTCTTGTAAGGCAGTTCTCCCAGCCATGCATTCTCTGTCTGCTCACCTGTGTGTGTCTTTATTTGCCTTCTGTGTTTGAACGTTAGTTAAAGGATACAGAATTCATGCTTGACTGTTTTCCTCCAACACTCTGATGTGCCATCTCATTGCCTTCGGGCCTCTATTGTTTCTGATGAGAAGTCAGCTGTTAATCTCACTGTGGTTCTATTGTACAGGAAATCATTTTTCTCTTGCTGCTTTTAAGATTTTCTCTCTCTTTTTTAGTTCAGTTTGGTTCTCAGGGGTCTAGGAGTGAATCTCTTTGTGATTATTCTAATTGGAGATTATTGAGCTTCTTACATATGCAGAATAATATTTTTCATAAAATTTGGGAAAATTTTGGCCACTATTTCTTCAAGTATTTTTCCTGTTCCCTCATTTTCTGGGATTCTTATACATACGTTGGTGTACTGGATGGTGTCCCAAAGATCTCTGAGGCACTATTAATTTTTCTTCCGTTTCCTGTTGTTCTTCAGATCGGATGATCTATATCATTCTATCATGTTTGCTAATTTTGTCTTCTGTCAGCACAAATCTGCTATTCAGCCCCTCTGGTGAGTTTTTCATTTCGGCAACTGTATTTCTACTAGAGAATTTCTATTTAGTTCTTTTTAATAATTAGCATCTCTTTTATTTATATTATTATTTATAAAAAAATTAATAGCTTTATTGAGGTATAACTGATATCCAAAGAATTGTACGTATTTAATGGGTGCAATTAGACAAATTTAAATATATGTAAATACCATGATACCATCACCACAATCAAGGTAATAGACATTCATACTCTTATTTGATGAATCATTATCATCATTTTTAATGTTAATGTTAATTAACATGTTCATTTTTTAACATTTTTTCTTTAGTTCTTTAAAGTCTCTGTTTGTGAAGCCCAACATTTGTCATTCTCTTCCCCCCAAAAACTGTAGCTACTGACTGCTTTTTTTCAGGTGTATATGTCACCATTTCCTATTCTTTGCATGTCATATTTTTGTTGTTGTTGAAAAATGGGTATTTTAGACAATATAGTGTAGTGACTCTGGATTCTGATTCCCTTATCTTCCCCCCAGAATGGTTGTTATTATTGCCTTTTGTGACTTGCCTGTACTAATTTTGTGGAGTCTGTGTCCCTTGCAGTGTGTGGCCTTTGATATATCTACTTATGTTTTTCATTTTTTTAAATTCATGTTTTTATTTTTAAGACTGGTTTAATGAGGCTCTCCCCTGGTCAGCATAAGTAGTCAGCCAATGACTGGTCAGAGGCTTTGCTTAAACACCATGTTAAGGGCCGCACTGTGTCCCCTTAAAGTTCATATGTTAAAGTCCTAACTCCCAGTGCCTCAGAATGTGACTGTATTTGGAGATAGAGTCCTTAAAACAGTAATGAAGTAATAATAACTCATTAGGGTGGGCTTTAACCCAATCCAAATACTTACTAGTTTTACATGTAAAGATCATTGTTTATAATTTATACATACCTAAATATATATCTATATTTATGTAGATATAGATATATATTTATTTGTTAATTGTCTTTCTTCTCCACTGAAAAGGAAACTTCCTGATGTTAGGGATGTTGTCTTGTTAATCATTGCATCCTTAGTGCCTATTATAATGCCTAGTAAATAGTAGGCCCTCCATAAATATTTGTGAAAGAATGAATGAATGTAGATATCTAGTTTCTTTTTTCTTGAAAGAGAAAGAGAGAGCACAGCATGCAAGAGTGGGGTGGAGAGGGGCAGAGAAAGAGAGAGAGAGAATCTTAAGCAGGCTCCACACCCAGTGCAGAGCCCTACGCAGGCTTTGATCTCATGACCCTGAGACCATGACCTGATCAGAAATCAAGAGTTGGACGCTTAACCAACTGAGCTACCCAGGTACCCTGATATCTAGTTTTTTTTAAAGCTTGTATAAAATAATCATTCTCATAAAATAATCATTCTCTTTTGTAGTACTGTGTATTATTACAGCATTTAGGGATGTTATCAAACTTGTCATTACACTTCTAGGAATCAAATACCTACAGAAATACTAGTCATACATGTAAAGACCATTGTTTATAATAAAAAAAACTGGAAAAAAACTAAAGACGCAGCAAGAAAAAATGTCAAAATAAATACTAAGGAAAAGTATGATGCTACTAAAAGGTATTGTTTTGTTTTACAATGAAAAGATGTTTATGATAGTTTGAGAAAAATCATGTGACAAACAATATGAATATGATCACACAATTAGTAAACAAGAAAACTGTATAGTGTGTCTGTGTGTTTGTGTCTTTTTGTTTAGATTTGGATGGGTGGGTATGATGAGGACTACAGTAAGAGGACAATAACTTTTTACTCTATAATTTTACTTTATAGTTTTGTGTATTACTTTCATAACTTTATAAACAATAAAAATAAGGGAAAATTTTAAAGGAAATATGGTGACATATTCCATTTTCATGAGTTCTAACATACTGTATTATCTTCTTATAGATTGTATGTGCTAGAAATCAGCATCTCTTGATTTGCCAGAGTAGATAAACACTTACCAAACCAATACAGCCAAAGATTGAGTATGTTAATGCAATAGAAAATTCCAAGGGGTAAGACATCAGTAAAATCCGTGAAACTTCCCTTCCAAGTTTCTGAAACCAGAAAATAGGGAGAAATCTTGCATTATTATCTTTAATAAGTATAATATAAATATGTTCACAGAAGGAGCTCCTACTATGAGAGTCAAGGAAAATAGGAAAAATTAAGCTGCTTTCACCATTCGACTTCCCTAGTCATCTCTATTACTTTGCCTTCCACTCCACTTTTCCTACGCTTAATTCCCCCAGCTCATTATCTTCAGCTTCCACTGGTGGTCTTCATCACTCAGCATTCTTGTCTCACTTCTTACAACTCTTCATTCTCATTATTCTCTTCATGACAGAGTCTCTATCTGTTGGGGTTAATGTAGAGCATGAAATCATCCATAATACCTGGCTTGCTAAAATGTAACACAGAGGCCACTGGGGGTGAGGGAAGGTTTCGGAGAAGGGCGTAGGCCTTTGGAATGCTGAGGCCTGCGTGACCACTCTGCCATAGGAATGCCGTGGGGAGTTGCCTTCCCCGAAGCCTTCTTAGCCCAAACAGCTGCCCTGTGATCTAAGAGGTGTATGCACTGTCCCCTAGGCTATGTTTAGCAGAACTTGTAGAACACGCAGATTAGCATATCATATCATTCCCATAAACAGATCCTCCTAGTTGCAGTAAGACCCCTTGTCACACATCACATGCTTGAGAAACAGTGATCAAGATCTATGATTATCCTGAAGGACCAATAAAAGTGGGAGAATAGAAGGGCAAAGGGTCTTCGTCTCTGAGCACTGACCCCCTTGCCTTCTCCTCTCTTTCACAGTGAAGTTTGGAGTCATCGTTCATCCGTTGGTACAGGGATTGCTGGCCATTCCCGGCATCTATCCAAGCTCTTGGGTCAATAAGATTTGACTCTATCTCCAGTGATAAGATAGCTACTAAGGGATTTTATCAAGCAATTCTCATGTATTAAAACAATTGTTACTAATTACAGACTTACTGAAATTTGTATGTGCAGTGATAAAAATCTCACATAGAAATTGCTGTAACATGATGTGGAAGGATGAGTAAATCCTCAAACAACATCTCACTTGGAAGTATGCAGTGATTATGATTTTGATGGGATAATAAAGCAGATCCCTTCTGTTGTGATCAGAAAGATATTTTCAACTACATATCAGGATGAATGATATTGGTCCTAATCCTGAAAATAAATGTAGTTTTTGTGCTGGCTATAGAAAGACAAGAATGATATTCAGACCTGGAAAGAATAACATTACATTTTCTCCTTCAATTCTTTCTCTTCCACCTTTTCCATTTTTGGGTTTATTTAATATCTTTTATGCAAGAAACTATTAGGTGGTAGGGAGTAGACAGTAAGAATGAAATGACAAAAAATTCCTGCTTTCTCAAGGTTTATACTCAAGTAGAAAAGACAGAAAGATAATATAAGGTAACATATAATAAGGTTAAATATGTCAGAATGGATAAAAACTTGCTCAGGAATTTTAGGGACAGGAGGTTTGCCCTAAGCCATTCATATCCAGGAAGGCTTCATAAAGAGGTAAGACATTGTAAATAAGAGTAAGACTGAGAAAAATGGAGGGAAGCAACATTCTAAGCAGCTTTAAATTTTCATTTAGTAGTTTTTTTGTAACTTATCTTGCTCCAGAAAAAAATGTAATAGCATAAATTAAAAGTGTGACAAAATAATTAAGAAATGGAGGCATAAAATAGAAACAATAATAAAGTTAAAATACATATCACATGACCTGTGGTTTGATAATGTGAAGAAAAAAATGAATGCAAGAATGAACATGTAAGAAAATGATAAAGCGAGTTTAACTCAGGTATAGGGAGTATATGATAGTACCAGGAGGATAAAGAAAAGGCTCTAGGGGGTGTGAAATATCAAGTTACCTTATCAGAATTCTGATTTAATTTTGTTGGCAGAAACACAATTGTAGCATTTTAGCTGAGAAGTACTGGTGACCTCTTTGTTGCCAAGATTGTAAAAAGTCATTTTGTCCACATTCCTTAACTTGTATTTGTTAGTGTTATTCTCAAATTCTGCCCCTGAAAATAGCAAGGTATCTGCCAGAGAAGTTCAAAGAGGCAAACAACGAAGAGAGTGACTGAGTTCTCGACAGGCGATTTAAGCCTTTGAGTCCAGCACAAGCCCGTTTCTTGCTTAAGTCAATTTGGGTTGTATTTCCCATCACTTACAACTAAGAGAGTCCTAGTTAATAAAAATTAAAGTGAATAATAAGCGAGCAATAATTGGTAATTGGGAGATAGTGGAGAGAAGGGTGAAGGATTACATCAAGGTTTTCAGCTTTAGAGGCTGAAATAAGGGAGTCTTGCAGCACAGTACTTTTGAGGAGGCAAACTTTTCCCATTTTATATCTGTTGAATTTGAGATGGTGACAACAGAAGCATATCGAAGTGGAAACATCAAGCTGGCCATTAGAAGAACAGGCCTGGAGTCTGGGAGACAGTTTCACAGGTACGTGTTGGCACTTTTTCTACTGACACATAAACTCAGGAATAGGGAAGTTGAGAAACTTGTCCACAGGGTCACATTCAGTGAGTCCTGAAGACAGTGTTTGAACAAAGTCAGTCTGGTTCTGGATTTAGAATATCAACCATTTTGCTATAAGATAAGTATGTTTCAGAGGCATGCACTTTTTGGGATAGCTGAACCTACCTGGGAACACTGATAACTTGATGAGTTTGTGGGTTTAGCCAAGCAGCTTGCTTATATTAGAAAAGCTGGCATTTGGAAAATCTTGTAAAATGTTGGCTGCCTTAGTAAATGTAGAACAGGATTCTATAATCCCTCTAAGAGAAGATTGTGGGTTAGAGCTGTAGGTCTATATAAGTTCATTCATGTAATTAATCACCACAAACAAAACTGAAACTTGTGCATTTGGGAGACTGTGAAATTGATTGTTAATACTGAGTTCAGATAAATACAGTCTACAGTGGTTTGTAATACTGTTTGCAAAAGGAGAATCCTGGAAATTATGCCATTATTATCTTAAACTGATGATTATAAGCTTATGAATAAGAGTGGTCAGCTCAATATAATTTGGAACAATCCTCCACTTAATATCCTAATTCTTCTTCCTTATCTCTGCCGCCAAAATTAGAACTGAAGATTCCCAGAATGAATTTCCAGGGAAAATGGAGAATTTTCTTACAATGTATAGGGAAAATCTGATGCATACTTATTTAAATCAATCCATCATTCATTACACACAATCCCTTTTGGGGTACTATTGCATCTTCTCTCATCCTTTCATTGTCCTCTAGGCTTTTGTTCTTCATGCTTGGATTCCTTCAACTGATGGCCCCTTTAAAATATAGTGCAGGTATAGAGAGAGGAAAGTTGAGGAAGGGGGAGCAGGAAGATTATGCCTCATCTACAATGAGTCTTCTCATTAGAATTATTTTTGAATTAAAACTTTCAAGTTGCTATTTTTTGTTTTGTTGTTCAACAATAAAGAGGAGCTCTACTCTAATGTATTCTCATTTGAATGTCCTTTGCAGCACTAATATTCTGTAATTCTGAATTTAAAGCCAACACAATTGAAATAAATCAGTTGTGATATCAGTAAAGATATTCACATTTACTGGAGAATGTTACTATCTTAAGAAGAAATAGTTACTTCTCTGGTACAAAGTATGTGATTGGATATTTAATTAAATGGAAACAAGACAGGTTCACGCACATGTAGCATTTGAACACATAAAACAAAATTCATGTGAGACACAAAAATAAGCTGTGTATAGGGGTGCCTGGGTGGCTCAGTTGGTTGAGCATCCAACTCTTGCTTTTGGTTCAGGTCATGATCTTAGGGTCTTGGGATGGAGCCCCACATTGGGCTCCATGATCAATGGGGAGTCTGCTTGAGGACATTCTCTCTCCCTCTCCCTCTGCCTCTCCCCCTACTTGCGCTCTCTCTCTCTTTCTAAAATAAATAAATAAATCTTAAAAAAAATAGGCTGTGTATGAAAAGCTCTGTGTTAAACCAGAAATTACCAGGTGTCTACAATTCCAAATATATGCATCAGTAACAGAATTCTTTTGTTGATTTTGGGAATGGTTTTAGGGTCTAGGATCATACATTTATTTCATTAAGAGAATCATCAGTGACCCCATGCCTAATGCATATACATTTATCACTGAAGTCTTCACATTATCTACTTGCTTTATTTTAATTGGGCATGGCAGGAATTCAAACATTCTATTAATATTTACCAAAAAATCATGTTAGAATTACTTCTGAATTGAAACTTTCAATCAAGAGCTTACTACTTAAAGCAAAGAATTTCTTGAAGACTAATAAAAGTCTTATTTTACCTCCAAAGGCTTTAAAACCTTGGAAGAGAATTGTTTGAATGGTCACTTACTGCTTGTCCATAATTCCTATATGACACAGAATTAAAAGAAGACAACTCAATTGTTGTTAGAATTGATGCAATAACTGCAACAATTATGCAGAAGATGTTCATGATCAAAGCAAATGTAATCTGAAAAGAAGATACATGGTAAGCTTGTTATATTCTGAATAAACACTTAGGTTAAACAGTTTGTATTGCTGAAAAAAAAATCATTTCGTCAAAACTCTGATCTAGTTTCTGAAGCTTTAGAGGTGCTGGAATGCTTGCCATTAGAATAAAATATTTTCCTGGTTTACATGAAACCCAGTTAATCTGGAGGGACCAGTGAAATATCACATCAATAAGCATCAATCTTCCATTTGGGCAAAAAAATGTATTTTACAATCTTCTGAGTCATATGGAAGAAAGATTGTTAAGATGGGATTTGAACAAAAGGAGATCCACTGTAAAATGGAAAAAGAAACAAAAAAAGATGGAAAATGACTGCTTGTAGAAACAAGCCAAATAAGATTCAATGATTTTTAATCCAGGATTTTCATTCTCTAGGGAAATCCATCAATATCTTTGGATATGTTTTTATCTGTACAACTGTGAGATCAGACTCATTGATTTCTTAGCTCTAAGAGTCTAAGATTTTTTTCTTTCCAATATCTTATCTATACCATAGATGGATCTTCTGGACAGATCCTTTATCTTATTATAAGATATAATCCTGTTCCCAAACTAGGTAGTTAGGAAAATGAAGTTTTACAGTAATATTTTATCTATATATAAATGCATTATTAGGTCCTATTAAATTTTTTCACTAGTAAAGTTCATACAATGTTAAAATAAGGTAGAATACCAAACAAAAAAACCCCTGTATTTAAATTTAGAACTTTTACATAATGATTCTAATTAATATAGAAAGTTTTTCTACATTAAGTTATGTGCTCCTAGGGGCGCCTGGGTGGCTCAGTTGGTTAAGCGACTGCCTTTGGCTCAGGTCATGATCCTGGAGTCCCGGGATCGAGTCCCGCATCGGGCTCCCTGTTCAGCAGGGAGTCTGCTTCTCCCTCTGACCCTCCCCCCTCTCATGCTCTATCTCATTCTCTCTCTCAAATAAATAAATAAAATCTTTAAAAAAAAAAAAGTTATGTGCTCCTAGATTTTCACTTAATTATTTTAAAAGTAGGGTAGATGCCTTCATTGCTTAGGTACTCACTAAAACCTACTTAGCTTTGTGACAAGTGATTTCTAGGATACCCGAAGCATCTCCACTTACCATGCCTTGAGTTGGATGCCTTACTACTCTTATTATGGAGACTCCTGCAGTGATAAACTGGATATAAAAACATATTTATAAATACTCATTGATAATGCTCATAAACTTAAGATGTATTTTTAACAACTCCCTCTTCCAGGTCAGTTATTTTTAGAATACCAAGAGTAACAAAATATAAAGAAGTTTCAGTAGAAGGGGTCAGGACAAGTTTCCATCATATAGTCATGAACTGAAAGCTAATAGCTGGGTCCCTAATCACAGAAACATAGGGGACAGTGGGCAGAATTCAGGTTGTGGTATATACCAAAGATGACTTAAAGAGTCCTGAATCAGGGGCCAAGTTTGCTTATATCTGTGCATGCTTTTTGAACTCATTTGATTATCATTTCAAATGCTATCCTTCCTAATAAAATGAAGCCATTGATTGCAATTTTTGTATACATATCCAAATGTGAAAAAAGTGGTTCATGAGTCTATTCCAAATTGTGTTTGTACAAAATATATCTCTTGAGACTGTGGCCATTATTAAAGTAATAACTGTAATTCATGTTTTTGCGTTTTTTAAAGAGTTTCCATTATTTCACACCAGGTTACTTTGTCTATTTCCCAGAAGTGTAAAGTTATGCCATATTGTTTGAAGGTGAGCTGCATACTTCCCTTGGAACATTCCTTTTGCCTTATCTGTTTTAGCGGATTTTCCAAAGATCTAAGTCAAATGATAATCTGTGGAAAAACAGCACTCATGCTATACCATTTACAGGAAGGCCAAACCTTAAAGCTTACTAACTCCTCCAGGATAACTTAAATTTACACACACAGCACTTCATTCTGTAATAAAAGCTGAGACTTCTAAGGAGGTACACAGTGAAAGGAAGAACATAAAGTTGAATTATAAACTGGAGTCCGCTGTAGCTAGATTACCAAACCATGTGCTTCACAAAATGCCTTTCAAAGTTTATGACAGTTTTGCATTGGATTAAATTTCACTGAAATTTTAGATAATTTATTCTAGGAGCTACACATGCTATTTTTATAACATGTACAATTAAACACTGAGGGACATGAATCATTATCTGGATTTTGTCTGCAAATTCACTATTGTTTTCTAAAGCAATGCTCTGACAATTGTGAGCCAATGTATAAAGGCAGAGGATCTCCTAGGGGCCACTGCTTTCTCTGTAGCCCTCTCAAGTGGTGGCCATTTTCTCTTCTAGCCCTTATACCTTCCCTCTCCTCCAGCTTTGAATCAAATGTCATCAGATTCTATCACCACTATCCAGCCTGGTTGAAGTCATCAACTGATGACTTGGTCACTCTAGTCTTGGTGATTTTAATTTCTGTCTCACTCTCTCTCTAACACCTCTTAAACCTTGGTGTGATTGTGATCCTTCTAATACCCGGGTCTTCTGTTTCTTTGAATTTCTCTTCTCTAATCCTCTGACCCCATCCTAGCTCAGTCACTCACTCCCATATTCATTCTCTTGTGCTTCTTTCTGCCAATAAGGATGACATCTTTCAAATCTCATTTCCAAGTATCCTACTATGACCACCAGCTTCTATCTTTCTACATCATGTCCTGTAGTATCACAACTTTAACAATTCTTTGAACCCATCTGGATCTATAATCAAGCCCCTCACCTCTCTGTTATATTCTCTACTTTACCAGCTTAAATTTCATGGTTAACTATTACACTCACTTATATACACTTTCAACTCCTTTGCACTGTTCTTGTTTGATCACAGATGCATGGTTAAACCCAAATCCTGATTAAATGCAGTTCTCCTTCTCACTGAATGCCTGAACCCATGCAGCCAAACAGGACTTGAGAAAGACACACAACCATCTTGACCCATATCTCACTACACACATTCTGTTCCTAAAGCTTAAGTGAGCTCTTAATCTTAGTGAAAGTCTAACTACTTTTCCACAATGCATACACTCTCTTTTTCTAGGTGACTATTTCATATCCTCTCTTCAAACAACCAATTCATTATCCCATTCTCCTTCTCAGCTCATGATCTGGCTTCTTAATTCACTGAGGTATTTGAAGCCATCAGAAGAAAAGTTCCACAAGCTCCCAATATCCCATCTACCTACCTATCAAAATTTGTCCTTTCTCTGTTTCTCCACCTTTCCATCCTGTTACCCACCTTGGCACTATTTACATTAAAGATGGATAATTCTTTCTTATGAGGGCTATCCTATACTTTGTAGGATATTTAACCATATCCTTGGCTTCGGCCTACTAGATGCCTACCCTAGCTATGAAAACCAAAAATGTCTCCAGACATCACCAAATGTCCTCTGAGGGGCAAAACCACCTCTAATTGAGATCCACTGCTAGAGATGAACTGTCCATGAACCTAAGTATTTGTGTATTAAAATTCATCACCTCTTGCCTACCCCAGTACAGGATTCTAATAATTCCTCCTTCCCTCCATTTATTTCATATTGATTTTCCCTCTTCTGGCTCAGTCCCCTCAGTAAAAGACATGATACTTCCAACTTACTGAAACAAATAAGCAAACCTTGTCTTGATCCAAACTTCCTCCCACTACTACTTCATTTCTCAATGCCATATTACACCAGAGTCCTTAAAGGAGTTTTATTTGTTGTCTCTATAGTCTTCTCCTCCCATTATTTCTTAAACCAACTCCAGTCAGGTTTTGCTTCACCATTCCACTGAAACTACTTGTCAAGTTTATTGCTAACTCCAATGGTCAATTCTCAGCCTTATTTGGCAAAATAACAGAATTTAATATAGTTTATCTTTCCCTATTTGTTCACTCACCTTTGAGGATGCCATACTTTTCAAATTTTCCTACTAACTTATGGCTGTCTAGAAACCACAGAAGAATGCAGGTAATGACAAATTTAGAAAATGTGTGAGTAGGCGCATTGTGTGAAGAAGGTAAGGATCCTAAATATGAAAATTAACCATGCTAATGGATATTATGGCTAAGATTCTTTGTCTTTCACATATCTAAAGACAATCCAACCTATGGTTGTCATTGTGTATTCCCTCCTGTATCCACATTTCTTGTAACAGCACTGGTAAGTTAAAGGTACTAAAAAAAATGTGTTGAAAAAAAGAATTTGATTTTGAATAAATTACCAACATGGGATTTACTTAACTGTTCCCTATCTTCCACTAGTGGCATGAATAGTATTTATTGAATGATTAAATCATATAAATATATTCTACTCACAATAATTCCCCATAAAGCACATCCTGTTTTGTAAGTTATAGGTTCATATGTCCCAAAGACTCCTCTAATTTGTCCCATATACAAAATCAATAGGAAATACCACATGAAAACATGAAATATGCCAATCATAATCTGGAGAGCCTGTGAGAAGAAAATGATATTAGTACCCAAACCATGTAATTTATAACATTATTCCAGTCAGTGTTAACTATAAGAAATATTCAATACTTTTATGAAAGATAAAAGGTAAATAGCAATGCACTTACCATGTATTTTCTGGACTGGTTAGCCCCAAAGGAAAGCCCTAACCAGGAAGTACTGATGGTTACCAAATAGGAGTCAACCATTCGTGGAGCATCAGACTGTTCAATAATAATTCTAGTCAATTCTCCCATAAAATAGTTGACAATCTGACTCTTAATACTGGCTATCTTCCCTACCTATCAAGTAATGGCATGAAAGGAGAATACTGAAGGTATTTGGGGGGAAATATGGTTACTAATCTATATGGATGCAGGAAACCATGTATCCAATATATTCTTGTATCTTAGTAATTATTAAGGTTGAACTACTTTTTGCATCTTTTTGAAGGTTTACCTCTGCCTTCAAGGTATATTTGGTATGTATCTTTATCACAAGCATGCTGGTGTGAGGTACAGTTCAACACAGAGATACAAAGAATATCCAATGTAGACTTGCTTGTACAAGGTCTTCCTATTGGATAGGGGATGAGTTGGTGGAGGGGTGAATTATTACCCAACTTTAATTTGTAAGAAGATAATTATAATCCAAGTAAATATGTGCCAGTAAATTTATTTCTCAATTTATATGTGGACTAATATTTCATATACTGAATCACATTTTTAATTACTGTTTAAAAATTTCAGAGGATTGGGGCACCTGGCTGGCTCAGTCGGTAAAGCATGTGATGCTTGATCTCAGGGTCATGAGTTCAAGCCCCACGTTGGGTGTGGAGCCTACTTAATAAAAAAAAAAAAAAAAAAGTAAAAATTTCAGAGGATACACTATTTTTACTTAATATAAACTTTAATAGAAAGCTATTTAATGCTTTAACTTTAATAGTTCCAGCTCTTTGTAAAGTAGTCTAAAAACACATAAATGCAACCAGCTAATATTAAAGATACATTTTAGAGAATTCTCTTTTATTATAGAAAGATGACTTTTTCAGTAACAATCTTATGCATTTTTATAGATTTAGAATTTTAGATTTCCTCTGCATCGAATTTGGAAGAATGGCATTATCTTCAGAGATTCTTTGGATTTGATTGGGAGAAAATCCTCTACTAGATAGCAAAATCCTTGAGAGCCTGGACTTTAGTTATCTCACTGTTGTCACCAGCCTCTAAAAGTGGGAACCCAGTAAATATCTCTTGAATAAGCACATCAGAATGAAGGACATTAATCCCACATGACTTTTCCAACTCTTAAGTGAGCCTGAAAAATAGTGTCTCCCTTTATAATTGGTGGTTGTCCTATATAATACTATGAAATATCCAAGTAAACAAAGCTTGAAAAGAACTCTATAAGAAAGCAAGGTTGCTAGTGTGTGGAGAAGAACAAGGTGGGTTTTCTTATTTAAAAATCGTTCTTAATCTCGAGCCAATGAATGGCATTTCAGGAGGTCATAGGCCTCTTCTCCACACACAAAAATATGAGTGCAAAGGATTACAATATATACATGAAGCTGGGGAGAAGATCCGGAGCTTTCTTCCTATGTCTGAAGGGGTCTGTGACTCCAAAGAGATTAAGAACCTCTGCTGAACAGTCAGGTGGGAGACAATCTACACAGCGGCCAAGTTCAAAGGAAAAGTTCACATCCGGTGGAAAAGTTCCTTTTCTTTCAGATGTGAAAGAGCATGATCTTCAAAATTCCTTGGTGTTTATTAAGAGATAGCTAAGCTCTCTGTTTATAATTGAAGAGACAAATTAATAATCATTAAATTACACAGACATCAATACAGTAATTGAAAGAGATCAGCAAGAGATCCCTCTCCCAGTTTAAAAAAAATACTTCTTTTTCTTTTATTCCTTTTTGGGATTTATCTACTACCCTATGTATGTTGGTTTAGTCAGTATGCTCCTATCTGAGCGCATATTTGTGTATGAAGAGACATGAGATCAGTTAAAATTTGTAGAAGGCAATCAGTATTTAAAAAAAACATTTTTTGGGTGAAGGGGAGTGGGAGATACAGGGAGATTCCAGTTATGGAATGAATAAGTCATAGAAATAAAAGGTACAGCAAAAGGAATACAGTCAATGATCTTGTTACAGCATTGTATGGTGATAGATGGTAGCTACGTTTGTGATGAGCACAGCATAATGTATAAAGATGTCGAATCACTATGTTGTATACCTGAAACTGAGGTAACATTGTGTGTCAACTATACTCAAAAAATTTTTTTAAACCCATTTTTGACTTAACCAAGTATGCCCCTCTCCAGATTCAAGAATAATCCTTAGTAAATTGAAATATTCCTGAATTTAGTCAAAGTGAAGTCTTACTTACCCCTAAAACAAGACTATCTGCTGTAGAGATTTTTGAACACATACACGGAGCCATACTACCAGCATTTCCTCTAGATGATTATGCTTCTAATCTTTGGTGATATTTTTATTAGCAAACTTCTACAAAACAATACAAAACAAGTATACACACTTTGCTCAAAAGAAAATACTTAAGTTTGATTGTTTCCCTACTGTTTTACAACTACCTCCCCAAACTCTGAAGCAATTCCTTTCTTCTTTCTGTGCCTAATTTTGTAAAGGCATCAGCTTGCATCTACCTGTTCTGAATAATGGCCTCCATAAGTGAAAACCCTCTCTCTACGGCTAAAAGGTACAGGCATATTACAGTTATTTTCTCTGAGTAGTAAACAGTGGCTCTGGATGATAAAATATGAACACTTAGGGAACAGTGTTAGAGAATTTTCAGTAAAGCTTTTAACAACTTCCTTGCAATTCATAATCAGTTCAATGCAATTCATAATGCCATGTTTGCATTTCAAAACCAAGTTCTTGTACTTAAATTCATCATGGGCTCGTGATTTTTTTTTTTCTGTCACATACTTGCTATCTAGTTCTTCTTTATGTGAAAGAACTTTTTCTGCCATCAGACAACTTACCAAAGTTGCTTCCACAATCCTAAAGTCTTCTCCTAGGGGTTCTTTTGTTGTTATCCGCCCCCTCCCCATTATTCCTGCATTTCTGGTGTTCAGAAAACCTGGCTAATAGCTATTAACTATATCCTTTGTGGATATGACATTACATTGTTCTACATCTTCTAACAGATCTTACTTAGGTCAGTAACATGAATCATGCCACTTAGCCAGGTGATCATCTAATGGATGATATTAAACCCTGAATCTCGGTCCTTTCGAAAGGAGGGTTTGAGTAAATGACTGCTCATTCCCTATACCCTTGAAATCTCATGATTTGATTATTTTAATGCATCTTTGGTTTCTAAAATTGATTTTTGGTTTCTAAAATTGATTATCTCTTAATTCTATAAAGTACAGAGACAGAAAAAAGCTAGGTAAGAATACAAGAGCTATTGACAGTAGAGAAAACAATATGTTAATAACTTAAGTATAAATAATAAGTTTCATATATTAAACAGCACCTTTGAGAAATGCCAAAGAAAGGGTACAGGCCTAAAGGCACCCATGATTAAGATTAATCATTCTGTTATGCTTAAATAAAAGACATAGAATTACAGAATTCTTATATAAAGTAATGAGGAAGTTATATCTAGATTGCTATTGTCACTTTTGAGAAAAAAGGAAAATAATAAAAAATAATTAGCCCTTTTTTATATGTATAAAAATTCTCACAGTTGATAGTGGAAACACCATGAGTGACTTGGGGAGAATATTTAGCATCACTATAGTGTCCATCAGGCCCCCACCAAAACCATCCCAGGTGAAGTACCAAGAAAAAATAGGTTGCACATGTGTTTAAAATTCTTTAGCTTAATTGATGGAAGAAAATAAGAAATTCTACAATATTGTTTCTGGAATAAATGATGGTCAGAATTTTTTAGAAAAACATTCTACAATACTCTATAACCCAGTTAAGTATCTCATTTTTGTAAAAAAAAAAAAAAGATAAATAAAAAATAAAAATTAATAATTTGTTTTTATTTTCTGGTGATCTCATCACTAATCCAAAAAGCAGCTGCAGAACAAGCCCCTAGCCCTTATTCCCAACTCTGTCCTCATCCCCTACACTTGCCTTAAAGACAGGAATTCTGGAACAGTCACAGAGAGCTTATGTCTAGAAGCCATTTCTCCATCTTTGGCAGAGATGCGACTCCTGTCTTCAGAATGAAGTTCAAACTCTTGGCAGGGCCGGTAAAGCCCTTCATGAGGCCTGCCCACTTTCTCGGCCTCATCCAGCCCCTCCCTGGGTTTCTGCCCTAATGGCTCCAACAGCAACCTTCTTTGGGAAGCCTTCCCTGCCCCAGTCTGTTAGTACTCCTCTCCCTGCTCCCGTACATCACAGTGTTGTCTAACTCTGGATGATCAGGATTGGCTCCCAAGGCAGTGTGAGCTCCCGGAAGCCGAGGAATTCATTTCTCCATGTCCCGGGCCAGTCCTGGGCTGCGACCAAGGGGCTCACACTTGATGAAGCGGACTGGGCTGGGTGCACAGGGGGTGGCTGAGGTCCAGGGTCTGCACAAGGATGGACCGGGCAGGAGAGGGAAGGTGGGGGGCACCGAATTCTATCTCCGCGCCCCTTTTTTAGCTTTTAACACTTAAGAAATACTGTAAGCAAAGCAACATCATTACCCTTCATTTTACTTGTTCAAGGTCCTAAGGATCGAGTTTCGCCCTCTTGGGTCCAGGCCCAGGCTAAGGGGGCGGAGTCCCGGCGTGGGCCGGTCTCCTTGCCCAGGAGCACTCCTCCAGCACCCGGTCCAGGTCCTACCGCCAGTGCCCAGGCCCAGATCAAGAGGCAGATGTCAGCGGGCGGCGCCCTCAGGGCCAGGTTCCCAGGCGCTGCCGGGCAAGCATCACTGAAGCAGCAAGGAGCCCAGGACCCAGCAGGCCCTCATGCTCCTCAGGCCACGCGGGCCTCCAACGGCAGCAGCGAAGGCGCTGTCCTCGTG